CAATGTTGCTAAAACTCTTCTTCGTATTGGCCATACGGTTGATCAGGGGTATGTTTTTTTTTCCTTTTTTTTATCATAAACAAATTGACATGCATTAAATGTAAATTGTTTGAATTATTAGTCAACGAAAAGATGAGTCGAATCAAAGTTTCCATACTGTTTAACAAATTATTTCCTTTTTTAAGGATAGTTAACAGTCAGATCAAACCATTACTGACTAAGATGTGCAGTGATAGTGAATTCGACGTCAGATATTTTGCGGACGAAACGCGAATGGGTTTGTTTTCATTTATTTTAATGTTTTTCATTACCGATTTATCCACCAAATAGTTGGAACAGGGAGATGATTAATATCAGATGATTAGCATGTAAATCTTCGCTAAGTTGAAATCAGGTTTTGAGATATGTGAGTAGAAAAAAAGTTTTCAAGTATGATAATTAGGTGGTATTAATAATGACAATAAGAGTAAAATAACTTTTTACTCACATATTTCAGAACTTAATTTCAATTTAGGAAGAGTTCCTTTCTTCTAGTATTGACGGTAGGAGGAAGATGCTTTTTCTCCATATATGCTGTAAATTAATATGAAGACACATATTATCCATATGAAAAACTTTATTTCAAGCATTTCATATTAGAATTTTTATTTCAGCATTGGGATTGGCAGCTTGATTTTTAAGAATTCAGATGAAGTTGTGAAGTTTGAATTGTTTTCCTAACAGTTCTCAATGGGAACCGTTTCTGTCTTGTTTCATAAATTATGGTTTAGTTAAATATTGCACGAATAGAATCTGACAAACGCGTTTTTGCAAATTCTGACTTTACTTCATTTCATTGCGCAAGTATAAAATATTTCAGTTCTAGGAACTGGTTATCTTTTGTAAATTGCAATTTCATGTTTGTTCTTTCCTTTGTTTTTTATGCTATACTTATTCTCATAAAAGTTGTGCTTTGTTATCGGTTTTTGCAGTGAAATATGTTACGCTTTTTTATCTTACAATACGAAGTGAGAACGGGCACTGTATAGAATACAGTACAAAATCAGGACAGCAGATATTTTCACCATTCGTGACTAACGGAAGGTTTTTGTTATAATGCCTTTTTTATCTGTGTAGTGATTCAAAGATAGGAGATATTTTGATCATGTAGAGCTCTTTAACGTCCTAGCCGTTGCATTTCCACATTTTGATAGATAAGCTACACATTTTACAGATTTATTGTGTGCCTGTGAAAATCTTCAGAGATTAAGACTAGTTTAGAGAGAGTTTGTGCATTAAAAAAAATACGTCTGTAATTCCGAAAATTCTATCTCTTCCAGGATTCAAGAAGTAAGATTTCGAAGCTTTACTGCTAAAGCATTAAAGCAATAAAATTCACATTATTTAGGTTATAAAATTTGGACTATGTGAAGCTTATCGCTATTCATCCTATACGAAACTGCTGAGATGTGGTGGATCAAGGCATGGACTTTGTTTTTAATGAAGTTAAAATTGCATTGAAAAGATGTAGCAATGCTGCAGAGCTCTTTATAATTTATTCAAAAAAATAAATTTTCTTTCAAGATTTTAGTAATTCGTGTAAAGACGACTGGCAACGCGAGAGTAGGTAGGATAGTTGGAATACCGTGAAGCATACAAATAATCACCTCTAGCAGACGCCGAAACGAGGTTCGATTCTTTTTCTCGACGTGATTGCCATGTTGGCGATAGCCAGTACCTGCAGCATTTGTTTATTTGTTCTTAGCAAATTATCAGCAGTATTATTAAAGCTGTTAGATTATCCAAAAAAAGTTTTTTTTTAATTCAATGAAAAAAACTTTACTTGGATAACGTGCCAACAGTCATACATCGCTTCTTGTACATATTCACCGCATCTTCTATAGGCATATATCTGAATTGAACTCAGTAAAGCAAAATAACAAGGAAAAATGACATCGTTTTATACATAAATTACTGTAAAATTATATTGAGAATGAATTTGAACTGAACACTAAACTTATTTTTCAGCTAAGAATTGCTCACTTTAATTGTTACACCTTAACTCATCAAAGTTTTTTTCCTCACCAAATTGAATTCAAAAGATATTCTACGAAGTGTCATAATTTTTTAAAGACTTTGTTTCGGCAAATTTGAACTCAAAATCTATTTTACTAAATTGTTAATTCTTCAAGAAATATTCCTTTTCGGTTTAAAAGTTGTATAAAAAATTGATCGAAAAAAAAGTAAAAAAAGAAAAAGAAAATCAACTTACCGTACATAATTTCGTACAGGTGTAATTGGACGCTCAATATGTGCAGTATAATTAGGTGTTGTAATAAGTCCTGTATTATAAGTATTTGATCGACCTTCCAGCCATCGTCTCGTTCTCATATCTTGCATGCTGTAGTTCTTAGTTCCTATCTGTAATTGGTGACAAAATAATTGTTTTTCATTTACTTTCCTTTCTTTTTCATTTCAAGAAACTAATAGTTTCCATTGTTCGACTCATCTTTATAAGGTTAAAAATTATGAGTGAAGTTTTAAAGTTCGAGCTTAGCGTAACATACCGATTCAGTTTGTGTAAGAATGCCAAGGCCAGTATCAGTGCTTCCATATGAATATCTTACATAAGGATACTTATCAGTGTAGTGAGGCGTACTACGTTGTAAACCAACACTATGAAGCGGTGGTGTCCGAGTTAACACCGAGCTGTACAATGAGCGTCCAAATAATGACGAAGCTAAAATATCAGTAAATTATTCAAATATAAGCATCAAATAAAGAGAAGATTAATTAAATCAATGAATCTCTCGAATGCTTTTGGCTAAGTTGTATGTTTAATTATCTTTATTTCGTAATTTATAAAAAAAGAGAGGTAAACTTCATCAATAATATTTTCTGGAAATTAAAATCAAAAAATATTCGCTTACGACAATTAACTTTGAATTTCGAAACATACAACTTCGTGACAACGACTTGGACATATAACCACCACCGTATCCATACTGTGGCATGGTCAGTGCACCACTTCCAAATGATGATGCACCGGATCCATGGGTGAATGAATATGAGCGTCGCACCGATTTGGCTCCGCGTGCTTCGGATCTTGATCTGGCTAACGGCGAAATATAGTGATATGTTGGACTAGGCACTAAATTCATCTCGTTTTATTCCTTATAGCTATTCAGAATATGCCAAATTATCTCGTACCAATTCGCCAATTGATCCCCTAAAGTAGCACTTAAATCACTCAAATATTTTCGTGATTTTTTTACACTCTCAACACAAACTAGTTGATCGTTTACAAACAATCGTTTACATTTTCAATGAAGTACTACCAGTGTTTAAGAACTCTTAAAATTAAATTTCAAAATCCAAAATAAATTTCCAATCTACACACGCATCCCTTGTTCCTTAATAGTTTATGCTCGGATCAATCTATGTATTTTCATTAAAAAGCAAGATGACACGAGCTCCAGCTTATTTAAAAAAATAACTAAAGATCATCTTATTACTTTTTAGATCAAGTATTATCGTTTCTGTCAGTATAACCATCACAATCTATAGCCAATGTGAAGACAGCTCTTCCAAGCTGACATTCCTCATATCTTCATATGAATTATATTTAGCTACGAAATGGATCAACTTCCGAGATGAGGTCAAAAAATCGGAAAAGTCTTAGCGTGATAAGTAATACTTTTAGCAAACATGATACCATCGACAAAATTTATTCGAAGAAATACAACAGAATTTCTGAATGAAATAATACCACAGCGAGCATACTAAACAAAATTTGAAGGAACAAATAATGAACAACATAAAGGAATAAAAAAGAGGTATATTATAGACGCAATATCGAAATAATTGATAGGTGGCAAACTGAAACCTGTACAACTATTCCGAGGATTATACACGTGTAATAAACGGAATCAAATGATGTATAAGTGTTCAAATCAAATAAATAGAATAAATAAAAAGAAAATTTTTTGCATTAAAAAACAAAAGCAAAATTTTCGACTGCGAGATTAAGTGAAAAAAAGTGGTAACATTCATAGAGTCAACAATTGGAAAGCTACGGAGGGCTTTAAATAACCTTAAAAATTTGTAAAAAGCCAAGAATGCTGTAAGGTTAATATATTGTGTATAACTTTACACAGAGAAAGAGAGCATAAAAAATTATTTGTAAGAAGTAAACGTACGATAACCATTCAAAATTTTCACGGTATTTCAAAGCTATTTTCTTCACAACAATTTTTAGGCTGTTGCAATGGCACGATACAATTCTTAAGCTTCATAAATACTGCTGCAAGAATAATATAGTACCGTAAAGAAAACGATCACTCAGTGAACACTGAGGAAAACAAATGGAAAAAGAAGACATTAACATTTGAAAAAGCAATAGCAGCAACAATAGTAGTAGCAGCAGCATATTGAGGATTGCGAATAGCAGAAGGATGAGAGAGAAATCTACTCTGCTGTACTTCCAACAAGCCAAACAGCTGCTTGCAACGAACATTACACTCAACGTTGACATACATACTCACAGACGATTCGTTTCTATACTGCTAAATGCTGCACTTTCATTCAAGAACCGTTAATAAAATTATATTTGGGCAGCTTCCTTGAAAAAAAATGCCACAGCTCTACTCAACATATATTTGAGAGTTTTTCCAATCTCATTCATAACTGAAAGATAAGAGCAAGTAAAAGAATTTTTATGGTATTAAAATTTTATTAAGATTTCTTATTGATTTGTCTCGTTCAATGTCGCAACGGAATAATTAAACTTTGAGATAATTTGAAAAAAAGTCATGACGTCCATCAAGAAATGAAATCCCACAAAATTTCAGCAATCAAAGTTGAGTAAACCCAAATCACACACACGCACATATACACACACACACACACACACACACACACATACATATATACAATCCATTCTACCAATCAACCATACAAATTCTATAAATTTAAAATTCACTCTGAAGAGACAGTGAAAGCTGCCAACTTTTTTGAATGTATTAATCCAATTCAAGTCGTTTACGAAATTTGGTCGGAGTATCATCATCATCATTCATATAGTCTCTGCGTCTTCGCTTAAAAACTGATGACCGACTTGTAGTAGGAAGTGGCAGGTCACAATCATCACACGCATACGGAATCTGGAATGACACATATTTAGGTACAAATCTTTTGTTTGCTAACTGATTTCGAAATACGTAAACACAATATTAAGGGAAATGATCTGAAAATGGACTGCTGTATCATCTTAGATGAATTAATTGATTACTCTGAAGTTATATTTATAGTTATATTTATTATACCTTCATTTAGAAGCTACAAATGTAAACTACTTCCATATGATCCTATGATCATATGAATATGATTTATTCACATAATGAAGCATCAAAAGTGTATCATATTACCGACTGGAAATAATAAGAGCGAAGTGCTTGAGTTGCATTCCACCTTTTGTTTGGATCAAACCTGGAAGATTTCACGATCTACTTCAAGTATTTTTATAACAGAAAAACAATATTGAGTTGCAAAAATTGATGAAAATACATGCCTTAAATCGAAAAAATAGGAAATATGAGAAAAATATACAAAAATGACAAAAAGATTTTAAAACCTTAAACACTGGTAAATTAATTCAATGAGATCATCACCGGCAGCAGTAAATACATTTTTAAGAGGAATAGCTGGCATTGGTTTAATGGTGATAAAATCAGAAAACTCCTCCATTCCCTGAAAATGATATAGATTAGGATAAGAAAAATAGACAATCTTGCATTTTAATCTTTTTATGCCACTCACCGACCACTCCTCTACTGTTGGTGTTCCTAAAACGCTATAAATCTTCACAAGTTGATCGATATCTGACTCACCAGGAAATATTGGCACCTGAAAAAGGGAAAGGGGCATTTAGTTAAAGCCAACTGTGGAATCAAAAAATATATTATAAAAAGAAGTTAATAAAATGTTTCCAATAATGAGTTCTAAGTCATCAAAGTTTTCGCTCGTATAAGAAAAAGTTTTATAATTATAAAAATTGACTCGTAAAAGAAGCTCAGCAATAATACATCCAACGGACCACATGTCAATACCTACACCATATGAACGCGCTGCATAAAGTAATTCTGGTGCACGATACCATCTGGTTACTACCTGCAAAGGTTCTTGAACAGAACAAAATTCACTAATTCATCTTATACTATGTTTAATAAATTTATTAAAACTAATAAAAAAAGGACTGAGTATCTTTGAAAACTGTTCACACAGGATAACTTCAAAAATTGGTAACTCAAGTGAATCATTAAGCAGCCATTAGCAACGGTAACAAACAAAATTTACAAAATAAGTGATGTAGCTATACTTGATATGTGTAATGACGATTTGGTGAACCGAAAAACCGAGCTAGGCCAAAATCGGCTATTTTTATTCGTCCTTTCAAATTAATCAGTAAATTATTTGGCTTTAAATCCTGAAATTAGATTTCAATTCAGTAGTATCTATCATCGAGGAATTGAAGCCAAAAATATCCATAATTCAAGAAATTTATGAAAAAAAAAAACAATATAGTGCAGCGGAGCACTATGAAAGCTTGTGTCATGGATTCATTGAAGTACCTACCCGATGCAAAACCCAGTGCAAATGGAGGTATTCGAGTCCTAGCAACATTTGCAATACCATATTTTTTATATGTTCAGGCATCAGAATTATTGCTTTGTCTTTCACCAAATGTTCCAAATCTGTTTCCATGAAATCAAACACAAGTTGAATGTTTGTTTTGTGCCCAATTACATCTAGAAGCTATAAAGGGCTGATTAGGAAGAATTCGACTTTCTCTTTCTTCAGATCAAAGTTACTCTCATTTTTAAAAATTGGATGCATTTCTCTCCTCCTTTCAGTTCCAGTACTTCTGACAACTTTGACAGCCTGCAGATTTGATTTTAAAGAAAAATTTTCTAGATTTCTAACAAAATATAAAAATAAGACAAAAATGCAAAAAGCGTTAATTAAATTACATCACTAAAGTATTGAGATCAAGTAATTATCCATTGTAAGGTATATAGCAGATGCTTACATTAGAAATTTTAGTAAATGTTTGAAGGATGCAACTAAATAAAACAATGTTTTGAGCAATGTTACCACACGTGTTCTACGCACTTTGCTTGCATCTATGATAATGCGAAATTTACTTTTTTCGAAAAAAACGTACAGGTCTAATTCTTATCCCGTCCTCAGACAGCGACAATCTCAAACTGTGTAGTGTGCTATGAAGTGAATAAGCAAAAATCGATCCATTTTCAGTAATTCAAATGTAAATTCAAACGTAAAAAACGTTACTCCAATAATATTATCATGATGCAATTCTTGCAGCAATTTGATTTCTCTTAATGCAGTTCGATTTACACCATCCATTGCTTCATGCCTTGAACCAAGTTTTATCTGAAGAATACCTTACTTTTAATAACAGGCTGATACAGAACAACTATGGCATCAAATGATTTCCGTATCTTGATTTCTTAAAAAAGTATAAAAAACAAAAATAACAACCATAAACTATAGCTAGCAAAAAAATAATCAACTCCAATCTCAGCATTTGAAATTTTTTATGGATCTAGTTTAATAGTTTAGTTGGAAAAACTTTTTTAAAGCAACCTTCTTTATTGCAACAAATTCGTTTGTTTCCGTATCCTTCGCTTTATAAACATTGGCAAACTGAAACAGTTGAATATAGTACCAGGATGCTATTTTTTATCCCATATTTTCTCAAAAAAAAAATTGGCATGTATATCATAGAGCTCCGCTTTATTAAAGTACGGTCGAAACTTAAATGAATATCCCCTAAGCTCAAGAAGTTGAGGAATATAATATTAAAACAGTTTAAAAGTAAGCTCAAAAGATGAATCTCTCCCACTATCCAACCCCATTCATATTTCCACCAACGCTTTGATGAATTTAACAGTCACAAAGGTTTTTTATGGCTTCCAGTTAATTTACCTGCCCTTCACCAAGATGTTTGATTTTCTCGTAACGATTCTTTGCTGCATCTTTGGACATGACGTTAGCCAATCACACTCCTTTCTTCACCTATGTCCGGTGATCTCAACAAATGTTTGAATTTAACGCTCGTTGCTAGAACCACAAAAATTTTCAGCAGTGAAAAATGCAACAGCATATGTCTGCAGCTTCCCATCCAATGATTTCTGCTGTTTCCAAGGAGTATGCATCCTTTATCGAAGAAGACAAGCTTTACTTATGTGACCAAATAAAAAATTTCTTTTCATAACTTCATTTTAGACGCAATTTGTCGCTCATTTCTGCTTTACATTCTCCTTCTGCAAGTTGACCTTACCATAGATCATTAAATAAATCGGCGTCAAAAAACAACATAGATTAACATGAAATGGGCTGCCATATATTCTTTTATTAACAGAAAACAAGTCCTTGAATCTAAACATCACAAATGAATGAGAGAGAAAAATCAGAGTACCAAACCGAGCATAGAAATAACTTAGTCTATAGTTCACAGGGAAATTGATAGAAATAGGATATAAAGCTATCCATATTTACTTCTTCATCAGCTATCATTTAGAGATCCTCTCAAATAATTTCATATTTCTAGCTATGTCCCTTGAAATCTAAGATTTGAATTGCAAACTCCGGTTTGATAATCATTTTACAGAAATTTTGGAAAACCATAAAAATCTACATCAAAGAAACGAAAAACTTTGCAATGGGTCTTCCATCTTTTTTTGGTATTTGATTTGATGAGCAGTTGGGTGCATTTGCTTTCTGCGTTTTCGCCTTATTTCCTTTTTTTGTGATTCACACCGGTAATTTGTTCCTCGTAATGACTGTGGAACTGTAAAACAAATGGATCCTTTAAAGACTTCATGGACTTCAAAATTTGGTCATAAGATTTGGGTATCAAATTAAAGCAAATTCAATTTAGAAATTCGAACTAAGAAGAATTCATAGTTAACAAAAAATGATTAATACCCATATAATCCGGAACATCGGCAATAGCAGGACTATGAAGATTTACACAGAATAACTTTTTATCGTGTTCTAGAGCTGCTTTTTCACGAGGGTTCTTAGCAAAATAAGCTTCCAGTCGTTTCGAACGCAGTACTTCGGCTCGTATTTCCGCTAATCTAGCTTCTCTGATTGCAGTCTTGGTGCAGGCTGCGAGTACTTCCTGTAAAACATTTTTTCTTACTCTCAAATCAATGTGTCACATCAAAACTTGCTTGAATTTCTGCCAACAGTTATGTAGTGCCTTACATTCTTACATTCTTTATTTCAGTTACTACAGAAATATGAGCTATAATTCTGTTAAAAACTTCCAACTTTTTAAGAATTCCAAGTTTTTTCCATCACAAAACAAGCAAATAAAGCTTCGGTTCTAATAACATACTCGAGCTCTCAAAACGAATGATTCTAGCTCATTGATGCGAATTTCATAAGGAGTAATTGAGCGATGTCCTAACTGCGCATTAATTTCTTCCTGAACTTCTTCCAAAAAAGGCTTTTCTTGCGGCGAAGCAAATGATAAAGCGTTGCCTTTGTTCCATCCTCTAGCAGTTCTCAAATGTCATAAAATGAAACACTGAATGATGAATGGAAAACTTAATAATAGTCAAAATTTCCCAAAATCAAAAAATGTTAAATTTTGAAGCTTGAGATTAAGATTTAATTTATATTCTGATCAATACCTGCCCACACGATGTATGTAGGAGTTAATCGACGTAGGAAAATCGAAATTAATGACGTTTGCAACGTGATGGAAATCAATACCCCGTGAAACTCCTGATTCTTTATCAATATGCTTCCGTTTCTTTTTCCGTATTTTTTTCATTTCAGATATCTAAAAATAAGATTACGCCTAAAGTAATCGCGTGCAAAACAGAAAGTATATGAAGTTGCAAAACTACTATTTTGAATAATAAAATACAAAATCCATACAACCTCTTCATCTTCATCTTTCATCATTGCATGTGATTCGCCGGATACATCATTTACATCAGAGGCGATGACATAGGAATATCGTCCTTCATTAAACTGTTCTACTACATGACAACGGCTATTAATCGGCATCTGGGCATTCAAAATGCAGGATCGAATATTGAATGCTTGCAAAAAAAGTCCAAGTCTAAAGAGTTACAAGGTTAAAAACGACATGAAAAACAGACAAACATGAATTCTAAAAATCCAATGAAAATGATTGATAGGATAAATCTATTTTTTCAGAACTTAAACAAACCAAATAATGGAAGCAAATTCTCCTTAGTCGGTATCAGCACTACAGATCAGTGATGCTACGAATTATTACATAGTATTATTACATACTTAATAATTAATAATCACGAATTATTTAGTAATAAGTTATACGATGCCACACTCTGAGAATATATGCAGATTTGCTAATAAGAAATTATTCCATTAACATTAATCAAGCAAGACCAATGAACTCACTGATAACAACGATCAGTATTTTTGACAAAGATGATTGATTTGCCAACAATTAATTTCAACTTCAACAGTGCCAAAAAGATAGCAAAACGCTCCTCTTCATTTTGACAAGAAATTTGATATTGTGAAAGCTGGTCGCCATTCGGTAATTGTCCCTCCTAAAACTCATATTGAAGAAAAACTAACTCATAAATGTATAAGTTCAGGAAGCACTGAAATTAATTAGGATCGTAACAAATCCGAAAATTCTTACCTTCAATTTCATTAGAACAATTGAACCGGTCACGTAGAGCTCTCTAAGTGCTTCTACATTCTCAGTCATTGTTGCCGAAGTAAAAATTGTCTGATGGTGTGCAGGGAGGAAATTTTTTATTAGCCTGAAAAAAGATTAACAATAAAATTTTGTGTGAAAAACGAAAAATTTTTTGATGTAATAATTTAGCAAATAAATTTCTGCAATAACGAAGCATCACCTCATTTCTTCAGCATAACCAAACGATAACAACAAATCAGCTTCGTCCAGGACAACATGCTTAATTGATTCACATGGTTTCCCATACTTCCTCAGAGAGTGTAGAAATCGACTAGGTGTAGAAACAACAAAATCAGGTTTCTTCTAAAAAGTTGAAATAAATAACATTTTCCAACTAAATAGCACAAAAAAATCGGCTAGGTGTAGAAACAAAAAAATTGGGTCTCTTCTAAAAAGTCAATAGAAATAGCATTTTCCAATTGAATAACACAAAAAGACTACCATCGACATATTCTCAAAAAATTTTCTAACTAACCAAAAGCCAGTCGTCATCAGTATTCACATTGAGCTCTGCCAAATTCAGTGCCAATAAGAACGGGAACTTCTCTGTTAATTTGCACAGCAATAAATAAGTCTGAAATAAGAAATGCAAAAATCCTAAAGTAATTTCTTGAACGGAAATAAAATAAAATCAAAACAGAACTAAAATTATCTAAAATTAAGTATCGCAAATGATTATTGGAAAAAAATCAACATAATATTCACCTGCTTTGCCAGCTCTTTTGAAGGAACAATGAAAAGCGCAAATGGACCAGCATCTGCATTACTTGAAGAATTCTAAAACGAAAACCGTTGAAAGATATTACACTTAAAACCTCAACTCAATCTTTTTTTATGCTACAAACAATGAATATAACATTTTGTTTAGAAATGTGAAAAAAGAGGAAAAGAAACTATGCAATTAACTTCAGAAATACCAAAGAGTCCATATCACCACTTTTAAAGACATTTTAACATTTGCTAAAAATTATAGTAATAAAAAAGTCGAAAGACTAACACGTTTCAGTTGTAAAACCCTTTGTACAATAGGAAGCATAAATGCAGCTGTTTTGCCACTACCCGTTCGTGCTCGTGCAAGAATATTCTTGTTTTCAAAAGCAGCTGGTATCATTCGGCTCTGAATCAATGTTGGACGCTCCCATCCAAGCTCACCAATAACCTTCAGATAATTTTGAATAATGAGTAGTCAAAAAATATCGCCGCTGACAAGAAATAAAAAATAATTGCAAAAATTAATTTTCCCTGTAGTTCTACCATTATTTTTTTAAGCTATAACTTCGAAGATTATAAGATAACTTACTTTCAACAACTGTTCATCCAAGCCAAAATCCTTGAAAGTCATTCTCGATTCTAAATTTGTTGTTGGCTCTATACTCTCAAAACATGCTGGTGATTGAACAAAATGTTTTCTAAAAAAATATTTTTTTTTAATAATATTTCCTAATAAATATTTCGAAAGAAGGTTACTGGTTTATACACTGATGAACTACATTTCCATCAAGACTATCGTACCAAATAACGCCAAACTGTGAACATAATCTCAGAGGAAAGTCAAGAGAATGGAGAAAGTAGTGCATCAACCTACTTGGATTTTTTTCGCTTATGCTTCTTCGTAGAGGACCTGATCACTTTCTTTGAGGGAAATTCCTCCATCGGATCATGTTCATCCTAAAAGGAATAGTAATCATCTTCTAATGTTGAACCATACTTTAAAAATTCAACAGTCCATCTAGAGAGCAAATAAGATTACAGGTTATCGTGAAAAAATTTTACAAAACCGAAAATTTTTACGACACATATATGTATTATGAACTTACACTTTCTTTATTTTCCAAATTTATCCTATCATCTATTTCATTTGATTCCGTCACTTTTTTCTTTGTTACCATGATAGATCTAAATAAAACTGATGAAATAAAACATGCAACAAGAGGTTTTGCTTCAACTTATAAAAAGATGTATTAAAAAATTTTTATGTGCTCGTTGCGTTCCACATATTATTATTCGTTCAAACTTCTGCCTAAATAAAACTAATTTAAATCCTCTTTAAAGATAAAAAACCTCTAACGACCTCTTAATCCTCATACAGCCAACTATAACCCTATAGTAATCATACCATCACTGCTTATACTAGCTAGCCCTATAAACAATGTCCAATCCGTGATTTACACCAGTCTTCAATGGTTCGGCCATTTTGTAAGACAGGTTAAGGTGGTTTAAGTGACGTGTTTGTTGTGAATGTTGCGAAGCAGTCCTTTAATTGATTGTTCTAGGTTAATTATTGATTAGTTGAATTGTAATTATTGGAATTTCAATCCGATTGTGTTAACTAGAATAGTTGGGATATGCCTATATTTGTTCGAAATATCATAGTAATTTATCGTTCTCTATTCTTCATTGTTAATCGATTCTTTTTTGCATTTTATGCTATTTTCATGCTTAAGAATGGGTTTTATGGATGAATTATATATGGATTCCTATCCCGGTGGACACATGAAAGTTTTTAAGAAGAAACTGGCCGAAGTTCGTGCCTCACCGCTGTGGATGAGACCAGTGATGAAGAAAGCATCGGAATGGAACCCATACTCTTTTGAAGGAGGGTAAATTTTAAGTCTCAGTAACGATAAAATCTGATCCTTCATTAAAAACTTATGCTGGTCAAGAAGCTGTTACATTGTGATTGGTGGCAATTTTTGTTTTGGTTTCACCTATGTTCGAGTTAGATTATTTGGATGAGATTCCCAGCTGCGATGATGATTTTATGGGAGTTTTGCTATCTGGGCCAAGCACGGATTATCCTTTTGTTTCTCCTAATTTTCACTTCAGAATGAATGCCATTATTAACAAAGTAAATCCTTTTAACAAAACGAAATAGAAACATTACCAGCTAATAGTAGCATGAAGAATTTGTTGTGTGAAAGAGATAATTTCCTGGAAGAGCTTTTTCATGTTATTTTCTGAGCATCTTTCAATGAAAAAGGAGACGTTTATTCCAGGACTACAGCAGCAATTTCTGGCGATAATTTCGCGATTATGGCGAGTGATACGCGCATGTCGCAATTTGAAGTCAACGTTTTGACTCGAGATGCTGAGAAGATCCATATCTTGTAAGGCTTCATTGTATAACCTTACAAATGGGAATTTATTCAGACAACATATTTCCTTCACATAGACAAATGATAACAGTTTTGAATTTCCGATTTACAAATCAATGTTTCAGGAATGATTCAATTGTACTTTCATGTGCCGGATTTTACGGTGATGTTCTGCAACTGAAACGATTGTTGGAGGTTTGTTTTGAACGGAGATAAAATTCATTTGTTTTTATAGACAACTTATAGCTCTTTCCTATTCTTCATAGATCTTACCGTTACTTTCTTTCTGAAGATGTAATGAAATTATGTCAGTTGTAAATTGTGAACTTTTGCAATTTTATTAGCAATACATGCTCTCTGGTGAAATAATTATTCCGAGTAGTAATGTTACCGTATTACGAAACCGTGCAATGTGTAAATCCTTAGCATTATCTTCATTATTTTTCAGGCTCGTCTACACAAGTATCGATTCGATTATCGTGGAGATATGACCGTAGATTTATGTGCCGAGTTACTTTCACGAAATTTATATTACCGACGTTTTTTCCCATATTACACTGGCGCAATATTAGCCGGCATTGATGAAAATGGTATAAATTCTTACTATTTTCAAGTACCGAGAACCATATCTTACTCTTGCACTAAAGATTTTGAATCTTATGATTGCATACATTTTTTATGCATACATTTTTGCATACATTTTTATATTTTTTTTTCAGGCAAAGGAGCTGTGTTTAGCTATGATCCCATTGGCTGCATTGAACACATCGCATACACTGCTTCCGGTAGTGCTGAACCAATGATCATGCCGTTCTTCGATTGTCAGGTTAACTACGTCTTACATCTTCTTTAGTTGTTTTTTGGTCTGAGAATGAAGTGTTTCTGGAACCAGTCAAGTTCTGGTGCATGATCTATCTTCTCACCATATTACCTATGTGATTAGCTTGCTGTCGTTTCTTCGTTATTCTTTTTTAACTTCGAATTACGAACATTGCTTGAACATCAAAAAGATAGTGCCATGTTATTAAATTCTTTACGTCAGATGAAGTTGTCTCGAAATCAGTTAAACTTGCTTATCTCATACCTTTATGATCATCTTAGAGTTAACCTAATTTCATTGAAACGGATCCCACTTTTGTAATGATTATTGGTGTTCATTTCATCATTTGTTGGTACTTTTTCGAATATTAAATGCTTTTTGTAGATTGGTTTGGTGACAATATCGGATGATGTGGAGAAGCCTCGTTTGACGATTGAGCGAGCCACTTCACTTATGAAGGATGCTTTTCGTGTAGCAGCAGAACGTGAAGTAAGCACAGGAGATAAGATACACTTAGTGATTGCTGAAGCAGGCAAGCCAATTCGCAAGATGCATTTACCTCTTCGTGAAGATTAAATTTGTTTGCCATCATGTGACCGCATCAGTGCTCTGTTATTAAATTTTTTATAATTATAGAGAAGGTTGCGTTCTTGCAGATTATTTTGATCTGATAGGTCAATTTTAGTTGCTTTGGCAAGCCTATATTTTTGATACCTGCTGACCAAAGTTGTCTAAACATTAAATTGCGTCTTCCGAAATTGGGTTTATATTCTTGTAAATATCGAATTGTATTTTAGTCTTTTGCAAGAGTGTTACCGAAAAATGATTTCTATCTTAGATAATCTGCATAAAGAAACAAATTTCTGCTTGTGGTGTTTATCATGGCAGTTCTATTTTTTATTTCTTGAAAACTGGGAAGATTTACTCTGTTTCTTTCTTGCATATTGTGTTTCTTTCTTGCATATTGTCGATGTTGGCAGTCCTATTTTAAAAATTCCCAGTTTTCCAGATATCCCAAATTCTTCTTCTGGAGTGATTCTGACATGAATGTGGAAACAAATATTTGACTTTTTATTAGTATTAATTGTTGGTTTACATCGTTTGCACCAAGCATATTTTTCAATAAGATGCGTACACCGATCAAATTTTGGCATCAGAAGAATAAATAAGTTATATGTTCCTTTGCAGTATATAAGTTGTATCACCGATAAGGGCATTATTTGTTAATTTTGCAAATATGAAGTAAATTATTTCCATTGGATATGCTGTTTTGTTGTGATGACGTTGATGCTCACTGGATGCATCTATTATCTATAAGCCAGGACATATAAATGTTTTGCCATTCCAACTCATCAATAGGTCAATAGACAGGACCGAAGAGAATTTACGCTATCATATTTTATCTTCTCATGTTTTGTCTAATTGGTTGAACACGGCTTTCGATAGATGGCTGTAGTAGATTTATGAAATGAATGTTATGATTCATTAGATGGAAAAGGTATTCCGTTTTCCACGGATAAGAGATACATAACCACCAGTGAAGATTGATCTTATATGTGTGAAGTCAGTTATGTTGTTTAAAATATCTCGAAAGGATAATGAGGCTCACGGGGAAGGGTTTTTCGGTAAAGGATAAAAAACATTAAAAGTAAGATCATTGCAGCTCAGCTTTTTTGAAGAGTTGATATTCAATTTCAGGAAATTTCGCAGCGCTCTAATGTAGTTATTCAGTTGGAGGCTGGAAGGCATGCTCAGAAATAATCTATATTGCTTTTTCCTTTCGTATTTAAAGTGAGTTATATTTAAAACAATCATAACTATATATGCTCTTTGCACTTGTTAGTGTTTTCCTCTTATCATTTTTGGTGAATGATAGAGCTTGATTTCACACTTCATCACGCTATGATATATAGTTCAGCGTATAACCATTTTTTTTCTTATCAGTAGTTATAAGAACGATAAAAGAGATACATTGAATGCATAAGATAAAACATATCAAATTGATTTTTTTTTGAAGAATACCTGTTATGTTCGGAAATATACTTTCTCAGTGTCATTTTTTTAGATTTCTCTGTGTAGTAAACGTCATACAATTTTTGGCACCAATACCAATTGTTGATACTGGATGGATGTTGACTTCTGATATTTCGTCTTTTAAAAAGTTTGTTTCTATATATGTGTATGTATATATCCAGTTAGATTGTATAGTATTTCTACTCCAAATTTAAACAGAGGTTTCTTTTCTATTTACAACAATACATATTAAAATTATTTAGACAATCGCTTAAGGATGCCTTGGTTCTTCATCGTGAATAGTTCTGTACTAATAGGATTCTCAAAATTTTTCTGAATTGTAATTGTTTTCAAAAGTTTATCACACAATTTTAATTGCCTTCTAAACTGCAACAGATATAAGATCTTTTTTTTTTTTTTTAAATTCTGAGTTCCATGACAATCTGAGTTTTGTGGTTATTTTAATGTACTTTTTTGGGACGTGTATTTCTCACTCTATCTTAGCGATTGAAAATGAATTTAATGGAAGTGCTGTCTTTTTCTATATATATTTAAAACTCATATCGTTCCGGTCCCAAGGCCATCTTTTTGGGATTCTAGGACTCTTGAAAACTATAAATTGCAGATTTCTCTCTGATTATCGCTTTCCAATTTGTTCAATTTATGAAGAGGGGGAATTAGATGCAACAAGCAATGATACAAGACCTGTAATGGGGAGTCTGAGCAGCGAAGCGATTCAGTCAACGGAAAGTGCAGCAAAGAATATTGTAAAATATGGATCTACAGTCTTTTTGGAGTAAATTTTTTCTTTTAGTTTTGGTAGTTCGATTACTTTGATGATAGCAGTAGCTAGACGATTAACTTAGTATCATTAACTAAATCATTAACGTAAAGTTTCGACGAAGATGTTGAAATTTTCTGGATTCGTTGATAACCACTTGTGAATGTAATTTTTTTAGTCTTCTCAACTGAATGGTTTATTAAATGGAATGTGTTAAATAAAAATGGAGATAAATAGGGGAGTAAAGGAGCAAAACATATATGTAACCTAGAGTTAGCAAATAGTTCTAACTGGTTAACGATTACTTAGCATATAAGAGATGTTCATATTTCGCGAAATTTTAGGAATACAGAAGTAAGAAGCAATGCTACTTCATCTGCACAAGAAGTTGATTTAGCTGTTCCTTTTCCTAATGAACAGCCTCCAATTGTCACATTTGATGAATGGACCAAGGAAAAATTAAAAAAAGAAGAAATTAGAAAAGCTGAACAACAACAGGTTGCAGTTTGAGCTAGTTTTATTCTGATACAAAGAAGACTCTAGATTGATTGATGGTATTTGTGATTTATTTCATCGAACACCAAAAATTCTTCAAATAGAAAATGAGCATTTAACTATTTCATGCATAATCATAGACTATGCAGGGAACAGTTAAATATTCGTTTATTTAATGAGGAAAAACTCTTCAGAATCAGCAACATAAGACGATTGTACACTCGGATGCTGGTGAAACTTCGAAAATGGATTCTAGTGCACTTCCTGAAATAGTAGAAGGTGCGGCGCGACTTGCGCCACCAAATATGATTTCTCAGGAAGCTACAGCGAGGAACTACGCTTCAAAAGAATGTGGTGCTAAAGTTCTATTCAGCAATGATGAAGCCGAGAATAAGGTAGTCACATATAAGTAGTGCACATTTTATAAAAAATTTATTGGAGTTCTTTTCAATTGTCAAGCAATATTGTCTTTGATGCTTTTGCAGAATGCCATATTGAATGAGAAGGAAGCAGATGATTACATGCGTAATCCTTGTGAACGTGCAGAGCATAAATGGCTTGTTATTGAACTTTGTGAAACCATACAGGTGTGAATGCTAGCGAAAAGTTAAGATTTATTGATATGTGTTAAATTTCGAAGAAGTTTCTCACACATAGTTTTTAATAGTCTGATTTTCAGCCAACTGTTTTGGAAGTAGCAAATTTTGAGTTATTCTCATCGGGGCCGCAAAATATAAGAATTTTGGGCAGTGAACGTTATCCTTCAAATGAATGGATGGCATTGGGTGATTTTATTGTCGAGAACAGTCGGGAAATACAGCGGTTCCCAATTGTGGCGCGTTCATACGTCAAGTTTTTACGGGTTAATTCTTTTTGGAGATATGGTACAATCCTGTTTTGAATTGCAAATTTACACTCTCAATGCTTACAATGTATCCTGCTTTGTTGTATGTTCATATATGTTAAGTTTTCGCGGAAGGAATTTGGAATTTCAAAATGTTTCAACATTTTATATCACATTTGGTTTTGACAATATGTGAAATGAAAATCTCCAATGCTGAATGTTTTAAAGAGGAATGAATGTGTGTTTTTTAGCACCGTATTTTTTCAGTTGGAATTATTGTCACACTATGGTCGCGAGCATTACTGTACGCTTAGTTTGGTAAGACTTCTTGGGATTTCAATGGTTGATGAATATGAAGCGGAAGCTGAAGCCGCTGCAGTTTCAGACACATCGTTTTCTATCCCCATTGTAAGCATTTCATCTATAGCTTCAGAATTGTGATATTTTTTTTGAAGAATTCATTTTGATAGTTTTGTCGTCTTTTCGTTTAGTTTGAGATAGAGAATGGCAATATCTTTAAAAAATTATTCTCTGAAAAAGTTATCTACCATAATGTTTTCTGTAAAAGTTTGTTTCCAGAAAGAGGAACCAGTAAACAGTTCAACAATGGAGAACGTGGATGCTGGTATCGTTGTCCCAACTAGCACCCCAAAAGATGTTTTATTTGCGGTTGAGACAGTAAAGATTTTTTGATTCTTGTCATTAATTAGGCATTTATTTTTATAGATCTGTTCTACTCATATTAGAGTTAAATACCAGGGATAATTGATGTTACATTGAAGAAAAATGAAAGTGTTAACGACTTGCCATTTGTTGATGCTGTGGTGAACGCAGTTGGTAGCATAGGAATTGGTAATATCAAAGATGTCTTCGAATCGGCTTTTCTATCGAAACGTACTGGAGCTTCAACACACAATATTACCAGGTCTTAATGTTTTCATTTTTGCTATGAAAATTATTTATCATAACTGATGTGTTTTTTGTTTCTCATCAATCAGATATTATCGTGTTAGGTATGTGTGCTAAAAGATTGGAAGAAAAAATTTTTAGAGCGCTTGGAACATAACAGCAGTGCTAAAATATCGAAATCTTTTCATTAAATATGCTAGGCGTTGCTTATGAATTTCAGTACTCTATATCATTAGGTTGAGATTTTTGCTGTACTCTCCTGTTTTACAGAAGCAATGCAACAGTGGTAGAACTGTGCACGAAATGTTCCCTTGACGGTGTCGACAGTTATGCATTATTTTGTCGAACGTTTTTCGGATTTCAATATAGTTCTGTTGATGCTGGCAGTGCTAATGCAGCAAAAAATAAGCAGGTTATTAGTAGAATGTTTTTCTTATGCATTTCATGAATATTCGCGTATCTTATAAATCCTTATTGCAGGTTCATATTCATCATTCTTTCAAAAATCAGAAGAAAAATCGGACCGGAGTTCTGGAATTTTTCCTCTCTTCTGTTTTACCAATTTATGTCTGTGATCTGGAATCAGGAAATTTTGAAACCGTGCAGAACTCTACTTCATATAATGAAACAGGATCTGATGGAATTTCGACAATATCTTCTACTATAAATTCACCAACGACTTCAAATTTGTTAAATAGAAAGTTAGGCGGAGGTGAGAAAGAATCTGGGCATTTTGTAAACCGACCAATGTACTACTTTAACAGTTATTGTGCTGTTTGTAGCTCAATTCATTCAAACTGATGATAGATTTTTGTCCTTTTTATAATTGCGCATATTTATGTTCCAGGATTTATGATCCCTGGGGGAGTTATAAGCCATAAAGAATCGATATTCCTGAAACTGAATAAGCGGATTAGTAGTTTGGAATTGAATATGTCTCTCAGCAGTGAATATTTATCGGAACTGAGCCGACGTTATGTTTTGCAAACTAATGAAAGTCGACGACAGGCTGAATTAATCATCAAACAAGCGGAAGAAGCAGCTATTAATGCTATCAAACCTTCAATTAATGCTTTGAAAATTCAGGTTTTCAACTTTAGAATAAATTTAAAAGCAAATCAAACTGATCGATAAAAAAACTGTAGTGAGTGAAGGAACAATCTTTGCAGATGGATGCTCTTGCAGTCAGCTTGAGAGAACTCACTGAAATAGTAAAAGCTTTACCACAGGAGGTCACACCAACGCATCACTCCGTGATATTGAAGCATGCTGGAAGTAGAGGCAGTGATGCGGATGTATCATTGGCTCGTCCTCAAGCACATTCTCATGGTTATTTCGGCCTATGGACGGTATGTGTTGTTTTGTGACTTTCGTCATCACTCATTATTTAATAATACGTTAAGGATAATGGTTTAAGTCTGTTTTCTCTATATGTGTTACAAATGTCCCATTAATATAGAAATTTATGCCCTGGTCTGATTTTGTTGTGTGTTATCATTTTTGAAGGAATATGAAAATAACACAGTAGATATTGATCAATCTGTGTGTGGTTGCTTTTATGAGTGAATTAATGACTAAGAGACGAATTGCATTTCAGAGTGGCGAACTGGTTTGTATCGTTATTTTTATGAATGTTCTAACGCTATTAATCTTATTGTTGTTGCACTATGTCTTTACTGTTATGAACCGTAGTGCTGCTGGACAAGTAGTGGATGAGCGACTTCAGAAATTGATTCAGGAAAATTGCGATATCCAGTCTGGTACATTCACTTAAATAATTTTCATTTTGTAAAAGATTTTTCAAAATTAACTTTGTTAATGATTGTGGGGAATAATTGATGAAATGAGAATGAACAATGAATCTGTTTCAGGTGAAACGTACTCTGAACATCCTAAGCAACAGCTGACAGCAGAAGTCTCAACCGTAGTTTGTGACGTGGTTGACGATACTCAAGCAGACAATATGTGTAATTCTCCGTTGACACCACCTAGTGAGACTTGTTTGTTAATAGAAAGCAAAGCAGAAGAAAATCGTCCTAATAGGCCGCATTCAATGGAATTGGTCGACCGACCTCCATCTCAGCTTTCAACATGTAGTGAACAGAATCCATGGCAGACAAAGAAGCGGAAAAATAAAAGAGGAAATAGAGAGAAAATTAGGAGTCAAAATTTAGACGAACCATTATATGGTTTCGGAATTCTGGCACATCTAGGGACTGAATAATCTGAACTAATAATTTTGGGTGTCCGTTGAGATTTTGAGAATTTTCCCTGAGAACAAGCAAATAGATCTGAAGAAATGGAGACTTTTAAGGTCGTTAGTTAGGTAATTCTTCATGTAGATGATTCTGATTCACTTCTACGTTTCTATATCGATTATCGATTGTTGGAGCGTTACTTTAGAATATTTCCTGTTCTTATGATTAATACTTCGAATTCCTTTGCTGTTTAAATAGAAGATTTTGAATTTCTGTCTTCTATTATCGATTCCTTTCCTTCTCAAGTTGTTGTTCCAATTTTTTCTTTTTGAGAGGAGCGGTTTCGTCTCTAAATGGTTTCTTTAAATTGTAAAATGTCTATTTTATCATGAGAATTTGTTTCACATTTAGATTAATGTGTGTAATCACGAAATTAGTGGGAGATTATTCAGGTAAAAGCACCATTAAATTTTACGCAAATTTATTCGGTACATGAAGTATTGAAAGAAGGACCTGGTACCGTATGTTAGATATAAAGTTTTCGAATTTAAGCTGCAACTTATCTACTTTTTTTCGTGAACTCTTTTATGCAACTTGTCCTCATATCTCCTTTTGGACGGGTCGTTTGCTTATTTGTTTACTTTTATGCGTGTATCTTTATATATATTTGTATATAGTTGAAAATGACCAATTTATGATTTAATCATTTTTGTCATATTGATGCACATTGATTCATTATCAATTTGACAAAAAAATAAACAGGTTAGGAAAAAATTATATGTCGAAACTGAACTCTTCTGGTATTTCTCTGTAGTGACCATAAAAGTTCCAATTCAAACCAATTCCGCTTGATGCTTGGAAGTTTTAATTAACGAAGTTTCGACAGTAAGTGATGCTTAATTCCGTTTCAGTGAAGTTATGCATTGATGCTCTGAAATATGTTCTGAAAAGTTCTGAAAAATTTGGTGTGGAAGTCGTATTTCTTCTTCGACATTTTCAGCTTCAGATGTCAATGATCTTTAATTTTATTCATCCAGAGAGCGTAATTGGCTTCTTTTGTGGATATTAGCTGGGAGCTACTTCTAGGAAATTTTTCTAGAGGAAATTTAGCGGAAGTTATGAAATCAAACAATAAAAGACTTTGAAGGGATGGGGGTTCGAGTTGTATATTATACTGTAGTGATTGTTCAACATACAAGCTTTTTGGACGTTTTATAACTCAAGAAATTACTGGTAAATTATGGACTGGGCAGTTTTCTAATATAAAAGAACTTGATTGTAAATTATGGACAGGAATGGATCGTGTTTTACTGGTATTTCTCAGAGTACTATTTACTGGTATCTTGTATTTGTCTAATTTCAAAGAGTCAAATTTTTGGCTGAATTAAGCAATAGTTGAGTTCAAACAATCATTGCTAATATCGTTTTTTAATTTTTAAAATTAGGGAAGTAGTTCCAAGGGAGTTTATTCATCTTTGAAAATACAATGAGAACCTAAGACTTCTATGAGAGCACAATTTTCCTTCCAAATTATTTCAGAACATTGCCACAGTTTTAATTTCATTTCTTTTCATCGTTGAAATCACGTCACCTGAACAATGCTTACATCTTTTGTTGTCTTTTCTTGACAGCAGTTTGTCAGTTTTTGAATTAATAAAAAGAAAAACATTCAATCATTGATATCTACTGGTAACAATTATTATTTGGGTGAGCGGTTGTCCGACTAGAATCCTAATTACACGAAACAATTAAACTTCAAAATGGTTGATCCATTTAGGATGCGTTATGTATGTTTCAGTTGTAAATTCAAGTGTTTATAATTGCATAACTTCTGATGAGAATACATTCATTCATTTAAATGAAGATTAAACAGCTTGATAAAGTGATTATGATAAAAGAAAAGAATGAAATTCATTGTTACCGTAAATTTTAATCAAATTTCTTTTTCAAAACTTCTCTCCAACTTTAACAAATTTATTTGATCAATTAAAAAAAAGGTGTTTTATAGCGAAAACGACCAAAAAAAGTTTGGACACAGGAAGGTGAGGTATATACAGGATTAGAAAAGGTATCCCACCTAATTTATATTTACTCATTATAATTTACCGTATTATATTTTCAATTTTTCATTTCATTCTCACATCTTCTAAATTCATTCCAATTATTGTTCTTTTTTTGCATTCGTTATGATTATTTCAAATGAAGAAATTGAAATGTTGAAAATTTTCAACAATAAATTTAAGCGTTCATTGTTTTTGTAAAAAAGTTTTAAAAAAAAATTTTATTACTTCTTGGATTATCATATATTACTATGATTAGAAAACAATTGTTATGATTATTTCAAATGAAGAAATTGAAATGTTGAAAATTTTCAACAATAAATTTAAGCGTTTTTTGCTCATCTTTAAAAAGTTTTAAAAAAATCAAATTGAACATTATTATGCAAATTTTACAGTCCGATCGTGAATTACCCTCTCCGAATGCAATCAATGATACCATAAAAAGAAGGAAAAGCAGGTCTTGTATTTTCAGTACATTAATATAAATAGTATGGAATGAAAAGAATGATGGAGTAAAAGAAAATCTCAGTTTTTTAATTCGTGTAGCAAATAAAATTGTTCGGAAAGATTTGCAGATCGGATGATTCGGACAATCCATATCGTCGGCTCTATGGGGTGAACATTTTTAATTCATTGAAAATATAAGCAATTCTCAGTTCTCTTTTAAATTTATTTTCATTCCGGAAGACTTCCAAAATATTAATTACTCAATGATAGTTTATTTTCCTGAAATTTCATATTTTACGAGACATTTGTCCGGAAATTTTGGTAGATACTTGTCCGGAAATTTTGGTAGATATTTGCGATATTGTTGGTTTTTTTTTTTGCTACTTCTTGGATTATTATATAATACTACGATTAGAAAACAATTGATTTATGATTATTTCAGATGAAGAAATTAAAATGTTGAAAATTTTCAACAATAAATTTAAGTGTTTTTTGTTTGCTTGCTTTTTTAATATGAAAAAAAATAATATAAATTTTAATGTATGCAGTCTACGCAATATCAGCCATCAAGCGAATTCACTGCACCACCAATGGTTGGAGGGGTATTATTTTCAAATTTGCTAAAATTTTTTTAATTAAATAAAATATAATAATTATATGAGAATACTACAATATATATATGTATATGTATTATGCATAAAATTATGCAAATTTACCATGTAACATATACATATTGTTTGCTTTACCTAAGATAAGCCTTTATAAAATTGATCAAATTTAGCCACTACAAGTACCGAGTATTATATTTGAAATCGAGGAAGAACCAACCAGAACATGGTATTATTGTCGTTGGACAATTTATTGGATAATATGGTTGATAGCATTCATTTTTACTTATTTCCTCATTTTTCGACATTATTACTGCTCACTTCTGATGGAATTCTGATCAATCAATAAATCAATTAATCATACATAAATGTTTTTTCTTCATTTTATAAATTCCTTCTAAATTCTTACATAAATTCTTCCATTGGTCTGATCAATCAATAGGTCGATTAACCATACATATATGTTTTTCTTCATTTTATAAATTCCTTCTAAATTCTTTCATTGATCTGATCAATCAATAGATCAATTAACCATACGTATATGTTTTTTCTTCATTTTATAAATTCCTTCTAAATTCTTTCATTGATCTGATCAATCAATAGATCGATTAATCATACACACATGTTTTTTCTTCATTTTATAAATATTCCTTCCATATTCTCTCATTGATTTAATTGGAAAATATTTTTAGAGCATTAAATTTATTCTAAATTATTTGCAATATATATTTTTAGTATCTATTTATACATTTTTATTTAAAATAATATTTCAGTATTAATAATTAGTTTAAAAGATATTTTTTACTTGAGATAATATTTGTTTAAAATTCTTTCAAATAATCAATAGCTATTCCTAATTGTTACCAGTTCTTTTTCTTCTGTAAAAAATTATGTACCAATGTTTGAGGTCAATAATTTTAGCTATGAATATGCAATTCAATTGAGAATAATTCAGATGGATATATTTATAAATTTAAACTTCCATTAAAACTTATTCTATTCTAACTTTTCGATTGGCTTTTATGAGTGACAGAATGTGTATCTAATCCATCATTCTATGAATTAAATAAGAATAATTCTCCGATGTACTATCATGAAATATGAAATGAGAGAGAGAGAGAGAGAGAGGGAAAGGGAGAGAGAGAAATAACTTCACCAAATGATGAACAAATTGGAATGATTCTTCTCCTCTCTTCCTATTCAATCAACAACCAATCATTGCAATATTTCTTAAGTTAATGATTAAATTTTAAAATTTGATCGAATCTTTAAATCAAATATCATTCATTCAAATCATTCCATCTACTAATTCGAGAACTGATTATATTATCATTATTATTATTATTATTATTATTATTATTATTATTATTATTATTATTATTATTATTACATTCTTGCTCACTAAATTCATTTTTCAAATTCAATTGTTTTAGAATAATAAAATCTACAATACATCTAATTAGAATGCGATACTTAGTTAATTGATCTCTATTTGAAAATCGGAATCCGTAGTGATATTCGGAAAAGAACAGCTCCAAGACATGTGCACATGTAAAACGAGGATTATTAATAATATTACAGGTGTTATCATTAATTTACTTGAAAGCCGAAATATTTTTTCTTATTCGTGTAAAACAGGATGAAAATGGAATTCACTAATTTATCGCTAATATGTAAAATTATTAATTAGCTCACATTAGTTTTCGCTAATCAATGTGCAATGGATGTAAAAAACAAAAACAAATAAAGAAAAGTTTATTTTGTCCAAAAACAATATCAATTCGAATAATTAAAGACTTACAATATATATGTCATGATTAAAATGCATGTATAAAATTACAACCAAAATATAAACTTATTTCAACATATCGTTTACACTGAAAGAATATATCAGTTGAGGGAATAATTAAATAGAGACAGTATCCATTCGGCTAATTCTTGTTACTCTTACCTTTATATGATAATAACAATGGAATTAAATAAAAGACAATAAGAGGTTTAAATAGGAATTTAAAAATTGAATATGAAAATTTAATGAATGCTTTCTCACCTTTCTCATTAAAAAAGAAACCATCCAGGTTCAGGTGTATTTCCATATTTTCGCTTCGATTTTATATGAAAATAAATATTTTGGAAGGATTTTAAATACAACAGATAATTAGGTAAGCATTAATTCTACTTCTAATTACCTAACTAGAGAATAATTATAGAGGATGAAAAAGCTAGCCCTTACCTAATATTTCTAAAATTTCTAATAAAAGCAAGAGGAAAAAATATTTTGAAAGAAAATAAACAAGATGTTCCAATTCTTTTTCTTTATATAGGTAAAACTTTCGAGGAATTTACATGGTGTATTTTGTTAAAATCAAAATAATTAATTAATCTTTTTTTGCCATGCAAATTGGCGAGATTAGATGTGCGAATAAAATTGAAATCTGTGCAGATATGAAATCACTATTTTGTCATATTTTCAAATT